CATGCTTTCACTTGTGTCTATGAGATACAGTACCTTGTGTCCACTGGAGTGACCATTGATGGTGCAAGATGAAGTATTGAATAGTAGCACGCTTGTCAAATGCAATCCATGCCTCCTGGGTTTGCGCAACAAAGGTGCCAGGTCCGGTCGTTCCACTCTTGTTCGCCTACTTCACTTTTCACCTTCGATGGTCACTCCAGTAGAGTGGTAAGGTACTGTATCTCATAGACATCAATCAAAGCGTGGCCATGTCAGAAAGGATAGGAACTGGATATACATGGCACGAAAATGTAATGTGTGATCCAGGTCTGCAGGTTCACGTAGTACAACTAAATTTATATAAGCTTGAAATATAGTTCATGCTTCTCGCGAAGTGTCCAAGATGGTAGTACCTCTTCCAAAGGCAAGTTTGCTGATCGTTAAGTAGACAAGAGTCCAATATAACCGAAGTACTTTTTGTAGAATGAGCAAACCCTGGGGCCACATAAATGAGCTCGATATGCGTGTGCCACTTCTGCAGCATTTCCTTACGGTGATTGTCATCATGTTGTCCTTTGTATTGCATCCTTTGAAGCAGCGAATGCATGGCACATGCTTAAGCGTGTAGTCGGACTGGACTTTGAACTCCAAATGCAGGGCCGACGTATGTTTGCACACTCGTCTGTCTGCTCGTAGCTAGCACATATCGCGTTAGACCATACGTCAACCATAAAAGAGCACTCGCCAATGTCTTTCTTTGGTCGAGTCGTCAAACCAGTATCGATGCATGTCGGCCAAGAACGACGTGTCCCAAAACGATAGGCAAAAGTAGGTCGGGGGCAAGTTGGGGGGACTTAAACGCTTCTTCCCACACGACGTGGGAGCCTCCGTCAAGCTCACTCAAGCCACCGCTTGACCACATTTCCGGACCGAAGCACCCGTTCGCTCGTGCGGTGGGCACGGCGTCGGTCCCTGGCTTTGATCATCTGGTATTGGCCACGGCAGCACATGGAATGAAGGGCTGGAGGGGCTGGTCAAGAGTAGCGCGAGGCTCTTCTTGCTTGGGCGGCCAACTCCTATCATGCAATTGTTGCTTAAGGTTCCCATAGCGTCAAATATAGATCGTGGGTAGTACCGTTTCCTTGGTCAAAATCGAAATGTGCGCCATGCACCGCTTGTTGAACGCAATCCGTCGCCCAAACAAATCGAATCGCAAACATGAGACTTGTGTACCACAGTACGGTTCTTGTACACCCGGACAAACGCCGACGTGCTGAGGCCCACGTCAGAGAAACTCGTTCAGCAACAACCTAAACGACACGGATTTCTCACTGGCCAGCCACGATGGACAGCAAGAGAAAGAACCACCCGCGCTCGTCCACCGAGATGTCTCGCCGCATCAAGCGTTGTTTCGACGTCATGTCCCCCAACATGTGCTACATGTTCCGAACCAACGACATCGTTTGTACGAATAGGAACAAACAGTAACACCTAAATTTACATGCGTGCAATATGTCGGCCGTCGAACGTGAAAGGCGTCGAGGTGGTGGATGAGCATTTGAGGTGGTGGATGAGCATTTCGTCGGCTTTGAACCACTTGCCGCGAATATTCTGGCGGATGTCCCCCCATGCACGCAGTGGACGTCGGCACAGTAGTTGAGGAACCCCTTGGCTGTACATGTGTACGTCAAATTGATAGAAGTTATAGTTCGAACGTGATATTCTCATGTGCGCCGAAGTTATAGTTCGAACGCGATATTCTCCGGAATTTATCATGCGCGCTGTCGAAATTGAATGGTGCAGACTTGACACAGGAGTCCAGAAGGCCTACCTGTAGAACTGCCCCTAGACTCTGGCCTTCCGCGGATTCGTCGTTGATGACCACTGTAAAGTCGTCACCCTGCACCTTGTACGAGAGTTTTGCCGTGCCTCGGTCCGCAAAGCCCTCGACGATCCAGAATCCATGCTCAATCGGTAGCGCCCCACTCGGTCTCACAGGGTGGACAGTACCCAATACTATTTGGCTGATATAGATTCAGCTCGTCATAATGTTAGCACGAAGTCGTGGGCAGCATGCTCGCCAAACGCGACTTCGTACTCGTCGTAAAAAGTACTCCTTGTACACCACAATCGTGTCCCCCACCAGCACGATCACGTCGCTCAAGAGGTACGCGATCTTGGCAAAGTACTTTTCCACCTCCACGTTGCGCTGCTTGGTTTCGTCTTTGGTCGAGTGGAACAAGTGTTCGGTCCGGCGAATTTGCACTAACCGTAGTAACGATAACGTCACCAGTGTTTTGGATGTGTCGACGTAACGTTAAGCTCTATTTTTGTACCATGGTCATAAACGGGGTCAACCCGTGTTCCCCTTCGAAATCAATCACGTTGGCTGGGGCCGTCCTGGTAACACATGCAACGACGCATATATAACGAGCATTGCCATGTATCTCGCAAATACTGTACCCATTCACGTTTCGTGCGCGTGCTACATACACTTCGCTGTCGCTCACGAGTGAGAAATGACTTGCAGGCGGTCGTGCAATCGATAATATCGACCCGACGGCGTGTGCAGCAACGAAATGATCTCCTTCGACCCTTCTTCCGTCCTCACGCGGCGTGCGTCCACGAGTCTAGCCCACGCAGCGAACCGGACATCTACATTGTGATAAGTGGGGGTGCCATGTGGTGTATAGCCTGAACCTGAGGGTCTGAGCCTCGGAGCACCTGAAAGCGCAAGACAGAATAACAATACATGAGGTACACCAGTTGGTTGGACGACAGACCTCGTACGAGCTTAAGCAGCGCGGCCACGACCACATCGCCCACTTGGATGGACGCGGTCATGACCTACGGTGAAGTTCTTACTGAAGTGACATGCCGTGCGTTGGCCCCAACGATCCACCCTTGGATTCAATTGCGTGGGGCCCGAAGACACGTGCAAAAGCGTAGCGGGGGTAGCCATAGAAGCGCGTGCGATGGTTCCAATTTGTCAATAACGGTAGAGACACTGAATATCAAACAAACGACCGAATCAATAATGTCATCAGAATTTTGATAGGACCCTAAAACAAGGGAAAAAGGACTCCCACTGCGGGGCTCGAACCCGCGACCACAGGATTAAAAGTCCTGCGCTCTACCAACTGAGCTAAACGGGATCGCTTACTATTAAGTAATTATCGTAGTATATATTTTACACGTTAACGAATACATCGACATTATTTTATTACCATGACGATACCATTCAATTGTACTTCGAAGTATGTAACATTTCAATAATATTATTGCTGAGCCAGCCACCAGTGAAATGCCGAGTTTGGCGTGGCTGTGGTAATGTTAGAATCTGCACAAGTCGAATCATCATGTCGGCTCGGATAACCAAGCAGCTGCTAAAGGCGTCGACGACGATGATTGACGTGCCTGCGAAGAAGACCCCTAAAGGTGTTGCCAAGCCTGGCACCAATGTGAAGGTGGTCAAGTCGTCGAAGAAGCCCAAACGAGCCCGTCATTACTTGGAAGAAGCCGAGACAGCGCGATCGACTGCCGATAACACCGTCAAGAACTTGCGCATCATCAAGCGTGCTACCAACCCAAAAGCGCAAGCTGTGATGCAAAAGGTAAGACCCTACAGTGTAACGCAGGGATGGGTGGTAACGCGGCGTAGATTCTGCAGGCTTCTTTGAAGAAGTAGTTGCCAGTCCACGACCTATTTAGAGTTCCTCGGCGACCAGGGTCGACCATTGTCAATTTGCAGCAACTAGAAATCTTAGCGCTTAAGAATATCCCCTTTCGATGGAATTTTGAAATGTATGCATGAGTTCTATGTGAATTCTTGGCAACATTATGGCATAAGGGGGCTTGCGCCTTGTAGTTTACAAGTTACTTGGTAGCACTACAAGCTCCATTCTCGTTAGATGTGACGCGTTGCACCATAACAATTCGTACCTTGCGTCGATGGGCTTGGTCACGGTGGCCTTGATACCGCTTTCATGCACATTTACCTTGACCGTGTCGAGGCCAGCAAAGTCGTCCTGCACAACCAAGCATCATAAGCACGTTTGACATGTGAGCTGTCTACAGTACCTTGGACAGCTGTGACACCGTGTAGGTGAATACGGAGATGGCAAACGTGGCCAGGCCGCCGGCCAGGATAAGGTTGTTCTTGAGTTGGGGTTTCATGAGTGTGTGGTGGAATGCGAAAATGCATCAGTGTTCATCCGGTTAATGTGAGTGGTTTCCGGTGAAATACTCTTTGGAAGGGTATCACCTCTGTTTAACAACGTCTTTGTGAATATACGTGAGTCTCTTCGAGTAATTCAAGGATACATTCCTGATCCTTGTTGTTAAATCCAGGGAATGCACTGGACCACATCACCATAAAAACACTTGGATCCACTATGATGTTACACCATGGTACAAATGGTTTTGAACCCCTCAGAGTATACTGAAACCAAGTCAAAATCCACGGATAAACATGCAGCCAGGCAGCGTATTTATGTCCTCATTTTGTCCAATCATATCGCGTCGTCGGAGTTAACATTTGTGATAAACACAATGATTGCACGCTCGAACCAATTACAGTCGACTCATCAGCTGTCAGCATTGTCGATTCGTCATGCTGAGCCTTACCGACCTCTTTGCCGAGCACACGCAGCTCCTTGTAGGCTTCGCCTTGGCGTTCCTGATCGTGCTGTACTTGGCCACGCCCAAGAAGCATGCCGGGAAGAACTTGCCGCCCGTGTTGCCGTACTGGATTCCGTTCGTCGGGTCATTTCCTTCGTTCGCCAAGAACCCCATCGAGATGGTACTTGCCGGGTACAAGCTCAAGGGACCTTGCTTCACGGCCAAGATGTTTGGCCAAGACTTGACCTTCCTCATTGGACCTCTTGCGCACGAAGCGTTCTATAAACCCAACGACGACTACTTGAGCCAGGCCGAAGTGTACCAACTCATGACACCGGTGTTCGGTCCTGGACTCGTGTACGACGCTACGCCCAAGCGCCGCGCCCAGCAGATGCAGTTCATGGCCAACGGTCTCCGTGTCTCCCGCATGAAGAAGTATGTGGAGAAGATCCGCATGGAAACCGAGGCGTACTTCGGCGCGTACCCTGCCGAGTCGACCGTGAGCTTGAAGAAGGCGTTTGCAGAGCTGGCAATTTTGACCGCGAGCCGCGCCTTGCTGGGCGACGAAGTCCGCGAGCACTTGTTTAAGGAAGTGAGCAGCTTGTACTGCGACCTGGACGGCGGCACCACCGCGTTCAGCTTTTTCTTCCCGTACGCGCCGACGCCAGCTCATAACCGCCGCGACGCCGCCCGCGCCAAGATGGTCAGTCTCTTCACTGGTGTGATCAAGGCCCGCCGCGAATCTGGCAAGCGCGTACGTAGTGCCATACAAATCTGTTCAATTGTGTCTGCATGTCTGTCCCCACTCATGACCGACGGATATGTAGGCGGACGATATCCTAGACACGTTTATGAACTCCGAGTACAAGGACACCCCCGGCGTCAACATTCCTGACGAGCACATCGTGGGTCTGTTGATTGCGCTCTTGTTTGCTGGCCAACACACGAGCTCGCTGACGCTGACGTGGGCCGTGATCGAGTTGGTCATGCTGCAACCGACCATGATGTACGTATAACGAGCTGCTGTGTGCCACCCCCGTGTAACTAACTGACCAACTGGTGCGACGCTGGTGCTTAGTGAAAAGATCTTGCACGAACAACACCAAGTGCTGGGCGATGCCGGCAACGACGGGCTCACGTTCGATAACCTCAACAACATGCCCGTACTGCACGCGTGCATCAAGGAAACGCTGCGGTTGACGCCGCCGTTGATCCTGCTCATGCGCAAAGTGATGAAAGACATTGTACGGATATAGATACATATATGTGTCCGGTTTGTAACGACACCTTGGCTCCGTAGACATGCGGCGAGTACACGATTCCGGCGGGGCACCTCGTGTTTTCGTCGCCGGCGGCCGCGAATCGCATTTCCGACTACTGGTCCAACCCCGACTCGTACGACCCCATGCGCTTCCTCGACGGACGCAACGAAGAAGACAAGGTCCCGTACACGAACGTGAGCTTTGGCGGCGGCATGCACGGATGTATGGGCCAGCAGTACGCGTACATCCAAGTCAAGATCATTCTGAGCATTTTCTTCCGCCAATTCAACGTCGAAGTGCTCGACAAGAACTTCCCCAAGCAGGATTTCACGGCGCTGGTCGTGCCCCCCGTGGGCGAGACCCTGGCCCGTGTCACACGAAAGTAATCATAATTTTTTATGACTTATCCTTTGTTGACTTATTCATACAGTAATGTTGATGACCATCATCACCACGTTTGACGAGACTAGCCTGCTTGTACTAGTAACGTTATCCTCGAGAGAGGGATCGAACCTACCGTATACCCCCCGCTTCAATACAGTGTACCTATGAAAGTGAAATCTGATCACAATCCAAGCGGTACCTTGAAAACTACTAGTATTCAGGCATGCGCATTGGTCTAAATCCATCACAGGAGTTACATTTCATTGGATGAAAATAATTAACGCATGGTGATTGGATATTTCTGTCCAATTAGAGACAACTAGGTACAACCGGAACCATGAAAATGCTCGTCATTGGCCGATATGTTCCAAACCGGTACAGGTGGAGAAATCATAGGTATGTACTGAAGCGGGGGGTATACGGTAGGCAGTACTACTACTACAGTAGTAGTTCAGTTGACAACGATGTGATTGTGAACTCATACTTTTTTAGAGCCTGTTCCAAGTAGAATTGGAAAAAAACGAAAAATGGGGTGACAAAATATTTCATCCCATTTTCTACCCATGCTATGATCATGATTGATTGGACATAAATCATTAGACTAAGATGCATGCTGATTGGTCAATAACACAGTGTTGTCGGCGATGCACAGAAAGGTGTGGCGGGTGCAGCGCAGGTGGCGCGTGAACCATCCGTCGTATGTGCCATCGGTCTTGACTTGCTGCCACGTGGTACTGGGTACGACAACAGTGTTGATGCCAGGGGCGCGGTTGCTACGTTCGTCGATCGAAAGGCGGCGCCAACGGCAGCAACTCACGCTGCAGTGGTCGAGTCCATGATGTCAAATTGAAAAGTTGGAATGGGATTGGGATCAATGATTGGATAGTGGGCATCCATTATTAGCCAGTCATTGGCGAAATAGCTGAGGTGCCCAAAATGGGATGAAATGGGGTCATGTACCCCATTTTGAAAAATGGATTTTGTAATGAGTTGGGGAGCGTTTTGATTGGGTAATGCCCATTTTGAAAAGTACTTGGAACAGGCTCTTAGATGCATGCGGGCAATAGTTAACGTTAATAAACGAAGTAATACGTCCCCATGACATTACACCAGGGAAGATTCAATTTGCATATAATTAATAAAAAGTGCGATACTTCTCGATTTATGCGTGTCATCCTTGCGCAGGGGCCATGCTAATCTTCTCTGTATCGTTCCAATTTTTACGGATGACCCCCGAAGGGGTTCCTGTTGGTCACGAAATGTTAGTCGTACCAGTCATGTCAATTGGTCCCGAGTTCGATCCCGGCAATTCCCATATTGTATTCGTTGGCGTGCCGGTTGGAACGATATTATCCGGACGATAGGAAAAACTTAGAGGCCACAACACGACATTTGAACAATGTTGACGTGTGACCCATCATGTTCAAGCAGCACCATACAAACAAGCACAGATCGAAGCATGCATTTTACAAAGAACGAATTGGACAAGGCGGAAGTACGGCTTCGAGTGACAAGCCAACTGATGTCGCTCGCTTTAGAGACGCTGGGTCGTCGTGGATGATGATGTTGTTGGGGTGCTGGGATTTTTCGGACGGGGTGATGCATGACTGTTCCTTCTACTACGTCGCGAGACTTGAGAACCGCCATCTACTAACTGCTGCGATACAGTCTTGTGTTCGCCCTTAAAGTGTTTCTTGGACGCTGTGTGGCCCGTCGAGTTGATCCGTGTGTCGAGATCGTTTCGTTCATGCTGCTGCTGGTGTAATGTGGTCGACGACCGGGCGGCTTCGTGGATTTCAATAGCTACAGATGGCACAGCACTTTGCACCGATGTATTTTTCTTCACACGGTAGACCAACGCCACACCGGCTTTTGTGACACTCCGTCGTCTTACATGGGCAGTCGTGGCACCAACTGGTGGTGCTAATTCTTCTTCCTTTGGCGTTGCTGTGCTGCTGCTGTGTTTGTGCTTGGTTTTGTGGTCCTTTACCTTTGCCGTGTTGGCCTTTTTTTGTAGAGTCATCCGTTTCTTCTTCGTCGTTGGCGATGCTGGCTGTGCTAGCGGATGATTGTGGGCAAGGTCGTTCACGCGGTTCGACGGCGGTGGCGCCGGAAATGGCAACGAGTGATGATGCTTCGACGGCGGATCTTGGTTGGGTGAAACGACAGGCGTTGGCACGGCATGCTCCTCGGCTGTCGTCGCTGCAGTCTTGGCCGATCTTTGATCCGACGTGATGCTGTTCGTGGATGCTTTCGCGTCGGTTGGGATCATGTGACCGCTTTTATGGTCGAACAACATCTTGTGGTTGTGCTCGCGTTTGAGAATGCGTACGGGGGGGTCCACAGATGGCTGATCTGCCGTGGACTGCCGCCATGGCGACGCGCCGCTTGTCCAGGCGGGGACAGGAGCATCTGTGGGCCGATATTGGCCTCGGTCGTGGTGGTGGTGGACATTGCCTGCACGCCCGTGTAGTGATTCCCCACTTCGTTGACACGACTTTGCACGGCATACTTTGCTTGTGAACGCATCGTATGGTTGGGGACACTCGTGGGGGGGAATGTGAACTTTTGCAGATTCATGTTGCACCGCCATGCCGTCCTCTATCGCTTCGTCGCCCCACTTGCCAGAATTGGCCTCGTACCGTGCCGATGCTGCCGGTGACACCGGGGCGGTTGCATGAGTCTCGTCCACGGCATCGTCGTCCCAACGCCCTGACGTGGTTCGGAAGATGTCTCCAGTGGCAGTCTCATGTTCGCGAACGGGGGACAGGGCGGGATGAGTAGTTGGCTCGTGGTGGTGTTGTTGCAGTAAGGTTCGCTTGAGAATCCAAGGCACGACGACAGCATGTTTTGAGGACACGGGTGTGGTCTCGGGCGTTGTTGCAACGGGTTGCTGCTGCACGACAGGTGCTGCAGCTTGCGGTTCCGACCATCCCATCTTGCTACCACCGCTGGTTTGCCCAAGTTGCCCTTGCACACTGTTTTCCATCTTCAAGCTGGGTGTATTGATCGGCGTCGGGGCGGTCACCTTAATGGCATTCGATTTGGCAACATTGTTGAATCGGCCCCATTTCCCTACCAACAACACGCTTCGATTGCTCGCGTATATCCCACCTACAATGAGTACATGCAGACTTGAGAACACACTCCTTCGCCATCATCGTCATCCTTCGTATGCACATCAAACAATGTCGTACGGGAGTCGCTGCCTCTGGGATGCGCTGAGGATGGTCTGTCCATGGGCAAGAGTGCAGTGATGCAGTTGATACCTTGGCGGAAGAGCTACATCACAAATGTCATCCATCTGTCTTCGTGCATTCTCATGATATACCTTCTTCGATGTTGCCACAACCCCGCGAGAAGTTTTGTACCTTCCTCGCTTCAATATGAATTTTAATCATTTGGTCGCTGTGGTATACAAATGTGCATATATATGTATGCAATCGTATAAAAAAGACCTCCGCCACTTCAAGTTGAGATTTCATGTACTTGATGTTTGTATCGAAATGTCGGAAAGATCCCGCCAATATTTTTAATAATACCTAATGTTATTTTAATTAACAGTAAATTCCTCTTGCCAGACCCTTGGCAACAGTCACACGAATGACGCCGACGGGATCATCTCCATGTACATTCAGGTCTCATGGCATCGCGAATAAAGGAATCGTTGCATGTTAATGGCGTCTACCGACACTGTGTGAGTAGCTCTACCACTTCTGAGGGCATGGGTCGTTTGAGCGGGTCTCGTTCGAGGCAGCGGCTAACCAACGTCTTGAACTCGACTGGCACATTCGCGTCGAATTCGAAGGGAACGATCGGTGTGATCGTGTCTGTAAGCAAGTGCATCACCGCGACGTCGGCGCGGACGGGTCCTCGTGCGCGCCACGACGCGGCATGCGGTCGGACGCGGGTCACAATCTCGCCAAACACGACGCCCATTGAAAACACTCGTGCAGCAGAACTACTTCCTTGCGACGGATCTTCATGACGCACGACTTCTGGGGCTGTCCATGCTAACACATTCGTACCGAACTGACGGACTGGCGGGACGCCCGACACGTCCAGGTACCCCATGAGGTTGGCTTGGCATGTCCTGGCGGAATCGTCCACCACGACGAAGTCGCTCGCAGTCCATGGAACTTGCATGCTCCCATCTTCCCACTGCACGTCTTGGAGGTACACGGCAGCGCGGGCAACATCGAGGCACCACTTCTTTTGCCGTTCCCATGTGATAGCTTCCGATTTTCGTTTCGTGGGGTCTTGCGACAACAGCGCCGCCAACGACCACACGGCAGTGGTAGTACTACTATTGGACGTACTAGTAGTACTAACACCCGACGTCGGCCCAAAGAGCGCACACACGGACGTGGACGAGAGCTTGATCGCCCCTAGAAGCGGCAACACATTCGCATGCTGCAACGAGGCGAGGAGCGGCAGGCGCCGCACAAACAACCGACTGCTCGCACTGGTGCCGAGGTTGTCGCTGGCTTCCGCATCCGCCATGACATTCAGCTCCAGCTTCTGCACCAGCACCTTGATCGTGCTGTTGTACTCTGCCGTGAAGAGCCCGCACGACGACTTCTTCAGTGACCGGAGCTCCGTGCGCGGCAGGATGGCATAGCCGCGATGGTCTTCCAGGGGGAACGAAGCTTCATCCGAGGAAGAAGTCGACAGAGGGGGTGGAGCAAATCGAGGGGTGGTCACTGGCTCCGACTTGTACTCCCCCGATGCCCCGCCGCCGCCGTCATCGTCGCCGTCATTGCCCCCCAGGGAAGAGCTCGTGCGCCGCGACGTGGTTCGTCCGAGCAACGGGGGCGCTTTGCGGCGACGACGACGATCAATGTACAGGTATGTCAAGCCAACAAGGATGACGAAAGCACACGCCGCCGCGCTTCCGGCCACGATGGCGCCGTCGTTGGACGAGCCAGGGGCAGATGGAACGGCAGGTGTAGATGGAGGGGGGGTGGGGGACGAAGGCGGTAGCGTGTCGTCGAGGATAAAGGACGATAAGGTGGAGGCGTCGATGGACTGCCTTGTGTTGGTCATGTTGATGGGGTTGCCCTTTAGATTACTACACAAACATGGTCGTGAGATGTCAATATGACGTTTCGATGACATGTCATCGTGATGCAAACAAGAAGTAGTGTATGTACATGCGAACGGTTGGCGACGTTTTCACAAAGGTGAGCAGCGACGCCGGGATTTCCGTGAAGTGGTTGGTGGACAAGTCACTATGACAAATCAATCGCACGACTGGTCAGTATGCTGAGGATGCCGAATGACAATCGATGGACTGTACGTACATGGTCTGAAGCTGTGGGGTCGACGATACGTCCAGGACAAAGGTGTTTGTGAGGTCGCTGTTGGTGATGACAAGCGTGGTCAGCTGTGTTCCATTGAGGGTCACTCCCGTGGAAGGAAAGGCGCAACGGTCAATAGACCTAATGATGACATGTCAAGCAATCATTGACAGATGTATATGATGGATCCGTACAGTGTTGCCAGGGATGCAGGAAGTTGCGTCGGAGTGGCTGGTTGACCGACGGTCACGTTTGTGAGATTCCTAGAACAGGTGCATGACGAGGGGGTCTGTCATGGCGCTGGTGGTTCGTACAATGAGGTCAACAGGGTTAGCGGAGCCACTGCATCGAAGCGGAATTGAAAATCGCGCGATGATGCAGAAGTGCCGCGAAGGGATCTACAGAAATGATGCATGACGATGCCAGGGATACAACGGCCGTGTCGTACAAACTCGTGACGAGCTTCGGTGCTTCGGGTCCGAGGTCACCAAGGGTCCCAAACGAGCCCGACGCCATCAGAACGTCGTCGGTCGTGGTCGCGGCTACTGAATCGGTGGTATCGACAATATCAATCCTCACCGTGGGCCGCACCTCGAAGCATTGGTAGGTACTTCTGGAGCATTGCGCACACCACTGAGCATTGTATGGGGGATTGTTCACGGCAATGGTCACTTTGAACCCGCACGAGATTGATGACAGGTCCTTGGTCATCACCAGAGTCGTGCTTAGAAGCAGCACGAGGGTCTTCATAGCCAGCATGCCTTCTTTGTATATCTTTGTTTCCTTGACGGCGGACGACGGAATACCGTGGTGGCGGCCAGCGTTGCAGTGCGAAACGACTCCGGTAATGGGTCGATTGAATAATCAAACGCGCACGAATTAAAATACACACACACTCAACGTACTACAATACAAATAGTAAGTGAAAGACTGACGTTTTCGAATTAAAATACTCGGCGAGACGGTTTCAACACATATGTCCAGCAGTACTTCAAGATCACACAATATTTTTTCGCGGAGTCGACGATTGTGTCCAACGGCCTCCGTGGACTCTCCGACTGTCAAGCCCATGGAGGTAGTATCTCCATATGGGCTTGGGCTTGACAATGCAATGCTTCCTCACCCAACGTCAAAGCGTCGTGTGTGTTGCCTTGGCTGAAATGCCCATCGTACATTCACACGCCCAATGTCACGCACCATGACGTGTTGAGCCTTTCTCAAGCTTGGACATTACGACATGTGCGTTTGTGGTTTTACTGTTGCATCGCAGTTCAGTTCCCAGCCCCGCATGAACCCCATGTAACTCATCGCATTACACGGCATGGAGCGAAACGAGTGGTGTGCAACTGCTCAGGCAAGTGACATTCACCCACGACGACGACACATTGTATTGTCTGGGCTCAAACGCCGTATGATGCTCGTCACCTATAAACAACCAACTTTTCACAAAATTTTCTGACTTCAATTTCGTATAACTACATTAATTGTACGTTAAATAATAAAACCTCCACTCTTCGATTTGGCCAGTTGGAAGTTTTTAGATCATACAAGGGAAATTATATTTATCCGGAATACCGGATACACATCCATGGTGCAACCCCAAGTTTTGGTTGCCTACCTGAACCATGGCCGCGCCGACGACGGCGCCCCCACGTAGCCCTCCATCCGTCGCACGGAAGGACACGAGGGCACTATCTCTGCATGCCAGCATCCTCCTTGGAGGCATTTGCATCCTTGCTGTGGCGATCAGACTCTTCTCCGTAGCCCAGTGGGGCAGCGTGATTCATGAGTTCGACCCACAATTCAATTTTCGCACGACCAAGTTCCTCGCCACCAACTCGTTCTCCGAGTTTCTCAACTGGTTCGACGATCGCGCGTGGTATCCTCTCGGTCGTGTCGTTGGCGGGACACTGTACCCCGGCCTCATGCTCATCTCTGCGTCAGTATATCGCATTCTGCACTTTCTTGGGTTGCCGGTGTCGATCCTGCACATTTGCGTGTTCTTCGCTCCGTTTTTCGCCGCGGCGACCGCCCTGGCCACGTATGCGCTCACGTTCCACGTCACCCAGCGCCAACGCACCGCCCTGATCGCGGCATTCTTCATGAGCATCGCGCCAGCGTACATTTCTCGCTCCGTGGGCGGGTCATACGACAACGAAGGCGTGGCCATCTTCCTGCTCGTGCTCGTCTTCTACCTCTGGGTCCGATCAGTGGACTCTGGCCGCATGGTCGACGCCGCCGTGACGTCGTTGGCGTACTTTGGCATGGTGCTGTCCTGGGGCGGCTACGTATTTCTCATCAACGTTATCCCCATCCATGTGCTGGCGCTGGTGCTCTCCGGGCGGTACTCGCCGCGGTTGTATGTGGCGTACAGCACGTTTTACATCTTGGCCACGCTCTTCGCCATGCAAGTGCCGTTTGTCGGGTTCAACGTGATTCAAAAGGCCGAAACCCTCGGCTCCCACGGCGTATTTGGCATCCTCCAAAGTAGGTCCTTCTTCTGCCATCGCTCTTTAATTCCGTGTTTATTTATTTATATTCACTGGTCGTATATCGGTTGCATTGTATTGTGAACTCGCTATGCACTTCCAAAATTAGTGTGTCTACTCAAGGTTGAATCACGCTGGAGTTCTGATTGGTTAAATATACTTGTCCTCCTTTCTGTAAGAGCCAATCAAATCCACTCAAAATTTGGATATTGGCCAATAGCGTCGAATCGTGATTCGAGTCGACGGGGTCTGGAAATCCGTATCGAATATACCACAATATAATGTATGTTTGTGTTTGAATGAATCAATGAAATGGAGTTTATATTATATATTTGTGTGGGTCGAATGATTATGATTCTAATTCTATTCATAACACTGGTTACATTATTTCTACATAGTACTACACAATCATCAATGCCCATACCTATTTCTTCTTATTACGTTAATATGTGATGAATGCACTTGTAGGTATATATATATATTACGTACGCTGTGAATCCAATCGCCATGATTGTGTTGTTGCTTTGTAGTTGTGGCCTTTGCCAAATGGCTCGAAAGTCTTCTTGGCGTGCACATCCACCGCCTTCGCGCCGCGATCGTCCAAGTCGGGTTGGCGGGGGCCGGCGTCGTGGTCGTGGTCGCCGTGGTCTTGCAGGTCACGGGGGTGCTTCAGTGGTCTGGCCGCAGCCTCACCCTTCTCGACCCGACGTACGCGTCCAAGTACATTCCCATCATCGCGTCCGTGAGCGAACACCAGCCGTCGGCATGGTCTGGGTTTTACATGGCATTCGGGCCGTCGCTGCTCGTTGTGCCGCTGGGGCTTTACTTTTTATTTGAAGAGGCGCCGCTGACGTCTGCAAAGCTGTTTGTGCTGCTCTACTCGGCATTTGCGTGGTACTTCGCGGGCGTGATGAATCGGCTCGTGCTGACGCTGGCCCCCGCCACGTGCGTCGTGGCCGCCGTCGGGGTCTCCAACACCCTCGACACGCTCTTCTTCTACCTCCGTCGCGACAAACCGGCCTCCTTGAGCGAATCTCACGGGTTTCCGGGCGAAGAGGCCGAAGTGGCGGCCGTCGCGCGCGACCTCGAGCGCAAGCGCGCCGCGGTGGTCGCCCAATATGGCAATGCCAACTCGATCCCGGCGCACCTCTTGGAACAGCCAGATGTGTTTGGCGACTCGATCGCGCTGCTAATACACGTCGTGTCATTCAATCGACCGATGCCCGGCCGGAACCGCAAGACCCCAGGGGGACTGCAAGCCGTGGTCGTGGGGGTCGCGCTCGTCCTGGTGTGGCAGCTTCTGCACGCGTCGTCCGTGGCCAACCGCGCGTACTCGAGCACGTCGCTCGTTCACGAGAGCCGCAACCGGACCACCGGCGCCGAGATCGTACACGACGACTTTCGGGAAGCATTTGGGTGGCTGCGGCACAACTCGGCCCCGGATGCGGTCGTGCTGTCGTGGTGGGACTACGGGTACCAGCTGTCGTCGTACGCGAACCGGACGGTGCTCGTGGACAACAACACGTGGAATAACACGCACATCGCGACCGTCGGCCGCGTCTTTGCCTCCACCGAAGCCGCCGCCGTGCCGATTCTGCACAGTCTCAACGTCGACTATGTGTTTTTGCTGTTTGGCGGCGCCAGCGGCTACGGGGTAGTATTGATTATATTGTTGTCTTTGTGTAGCCTACACTGTGGACTTGTGTTTGTTTTGCCAAATGTATCGATTATCATCGCCGGTGCTTCTTGTACGGATAAGTAAGTGTGGATGCAACAAGGGGTCCCTGTATTATGTGGTGATTGGTATCACACGAATTGAAGTCACACACTAATTCGATGTTAATCCGGGTGTCCTGCAATCATCTGATTGGCTCCTTAGTTTGGCCGATTCGCGATTCGTTTGTACATATTTGATAGTGTCGATTCCTTCTCCATGTCGCTCCAGTTTTGAATAAACACATAACAATATATATATATATGGACCTATCAAATCTATGCACAAGTGTGTACCACATGTATACATACACTCGAGGTTGTCGTGTGGTGTTTATGTGTGGGTTGAGTGTCCACTGGTTTGTTGGAATGTCGGTGGACTAAACCATATATTGTTAATGTTGCTGTTGACGAAACCATAAATTATATATATATATTATATATTATATATATATATAGGGCGACGACTTGGACAAGTTTTCGTGGTTTCTCCGCATCGCACAAGGCGTGTTTCCGGATACGGTGGATTTGGACAAGTTCCTCGTGAATGGGTACGCGGACGCGGGCGAGTCGGCGACGGCGGCCATGAAGGAGTGTTTGTTGTACAAGCTCAGCTACTACCGGTTCGACGAGTACGTTGCCGACCCGACAAAGCCCGTCAAGGGCTTCGATCGCAACCGGCAGCGCCAGCAGCGAACCAGCCCCATCCACCTCTCGCATTTCGAAGAAGTGTTTACGTCGGAAGCGTGGATTGTGCGGATTTTCAAACTGCGCCGAGACATTTTGCACTAGATTGTTCCATACCCAGTATTGGACTCGACTAAGTAAGTACAGTGTCATACAGTGGGGTTTCCGAGGATATTAGTTTGTACTTGCTCTTTCGTCTAACAAGCAGCCAAACAGCCATCGCTTCTTCACGGGTGGTTACAGTCATATACTAATAAAAAATAGGATTCGATCGAGTATTATTGGTATATCTGAATTAAACAATCCAAAAGTTATGGCGACATATACTTGTTTGCTTGAAGTCGGCAAACGTTATCGCCACTGGTTCATCCTGATCGTGGTCCTCCTTCCAATGGCGGGCGGTCGTCTCCAGTGACGCTAACACGTGCTCGTACTGACCTGCCACGGCGCTGTGGCCCATGCCTGCCGCCTCCCTAAGGCGAGTTACTAGTAGTACTAGTATTAATACTAGTTGTTTTACAAGAGTTGGTGTCGGACGTGGCGCGTGTGGGCGTCAATGTTGGCGTGGTCTACGAGATTCATGGCCACGGCAACACTCTATTCGTATCCACCAATCATAGCTAGAGTTGCGCGCAAGTTGCTACGTACCAACTCGAGGTTGACCACTTGATGGGGACAATCGGCCGGGATAAACATGACTTCCCCGGCCTCCAGCACCCCGTCGTACACGGGAACGTGGCGCAGCAACGGGAACGCAGTCATGTTGGGGGCCATCAAGTCGGCGTCAAATTTGCCGTCGGCTCCCGGCTGCTCGTAGAGGAAGGGGCGGGCGGACGGAGGCGCGATGCGCCATCGCTTGCGGCCTTGGACAAGTCCCATCCACGCCGACGTAGCACCCCAGTCCACATGGAGCCCTGCATCATCAGGGGGTCGATCTATCAAGGGGGGGGCATCTGGACAAGCGGGGGCGGCGCGTACCTGACGACGTCCGCGCATCTCCGACAAACAGACTCGGCCAGTACCGAGTGTTCTTGGTGCACGTGTGTTGCAACGCATCGCGGGCAAAGTACTTTGGAATCTACAAAGGACGATATATATATATATATATATGCTTTTGATAGGACAGACCACAAACGACTGGAGCAAGTCGGGGCAAAACGAGGTTACGCTCTCGTCGTGGAGATACAACGACGAGAGACTCTTGGGCCTAGGACATGTATTTATGATATATATATGATGTCTTGGAAAGTGTAACACGTTGGTTGCTTTACTCCACATTGCACAGTTGTTACTTATGTTGTGACTATTGTATGTACCAAGGTTCATGCTTGCGATGGTGAATGTCATATAGGAACTCGTGCAGGGCTGCGTACGTGACCGATTCGATGCCTGCCATAAAGTACAAAGTATCTGTTCGCGTTGATCTATATAGGCTACGAAAGCTGGCGGTGATGGTGAGTGCACTGATCTGTACCTGCCCAAGTGGATTTGTGGGGACATTGATGTTTCAGCACGGCGGAGCGAGTGCCGCAGGTGGCGTTGAGCACATGCAGCGACCACGGCGGGACGCCAGGGGTAAATGGAAGCATCTTGGCATGCGTCAAGATGAACGGCACAGAGTGCGTCGCCAAATGTCGGTACTCTGCATACCTACATCACCGCAATGAGTGAGGTAAATGTACGTCGTGCAAAGTGTACTTGTACGAGGTATATACATACGATAGGGTTCTCGAGTCAAACCGACGGATGGGAATGGTCTTGATCGAGTCATGTACACTGGTGGTGCTGCTACTGTTGCCAGGAATAGTTGGCACTGTCGACTTGATCCCCGCCATGGCGGCGGTACAGGACCCTTGGACTTCTGCGTTCGAGTCGGTTGCAATGAGTGGCGAGGAGTTCACTTGCTTGGCCTTGTCAGTAGCTAGTGCCGTCGCGTGTAGGTTCTTTTGGAGCTGGAGCTCAAGTCGCAGTGCACCGTAAGCCTACAAATACCCCAATGCGATCACTAGTACTAGTATTGATTAGAGACCCGAGGCGTACCCGAGAGACCTGTTGGTGCCGCCTTTGCTCATCAGCCAACGCAGACTGCAGATGGGCAATGACTATGTATGTATGCATATCGATGGAATCGTCGCACGATTATGCTAGGACAAGAGTGCTTTCGCACCACGTTGAAGTGCCTCAAGTGGCTGGGGGTTGTACGGGAATAGAGCCACAAGCTGGTCGGAGGCGTGTGCCACTTCAGCATCAAGTACCTACGTGCATAATGGTCGGTGAAGGCGAGAAGAAGTGGGTATGTGCGGTGAAGTCGGCAATGACTATGTTGAATACTTGTTGGGTGTATGCAGCGGCAAACTGCGAGCAACTGTCCACATCCAAGTCAAACTAGGGCAACGAGTATGACATGCATGCATTGAGGCATTGAAAATGTACACTCACTTGAGTGCACACTGCAGGGATTTTGTCAGATAAGGTCTGCGTATCGCCTTCAAACACGGATAACTAGCACACGAACTCGTGACGCGTGATGCTAATGACGAAAGAAATTCACCTGAAAGTAGATTCGCTGGCGTGTTGCATGCTGGACATCGAATGGCAGCGATTTCAATTGCTTTGGAACGTAGTGTGGGGCGAGCGCAGGGCAGTGGCATGCTTGGTTGCCTGCGATGGCATTGCTGAAACGATAGCGACCTCGGGCGACGACGACATACCTTCCTGTAATCCCATGAGGTAGGCTTTGAAAAGGCCACACTCGGAAGGAAGGAGGTCGCCACTTTCACAGAATTTCACCCCTTCGCGTTGCACGTCGACACAACAAGGTATTCGCAGCTCATGATCACGAGTGATTCCGTCTGCGCCGTGGAGTTGTACAGTTGTTTGAATAAGCCACTGTCGAGGATCGTTGAATGCCGATGTGCTTGCTATACGTGCCAATAATACCACCGCGATGGCTGTCCAATGCATGTTGATGGACACGTCGGCGATGTTATCAAAAGATCTGGATCGATGATGTATATCCGGACGATTTTATAATTGGACGATGGTGAATAAAAACATGAAATAAAAAAAGGACTTCTATTAAATTTTGACTCATCGTCGAATCCGGATATGACCACTTTCCACGCCCTTTCCTCATTTTGCGATCTTTCTTCCAAACGCCCTCAACATCATGCTCCCTCTCCGGAAAATCACGCTGCTGCTTCTGTCCACCTTTGTCTTGGCGGGAGATGGCATCCCTCGATTCGACAGCATCAAGCGAGCGGTGCCTGGTCATGGACTGATCTTGGAGTCGCACGTGGCCAAGTCCCATCCAGATCGAATCGTGAACGTTGAGATGCTGCACGAAGATGGACACGACCCCGCTTTCCACTTGCTGCAAGACGACGACGTCGTGCATTCATCTCATTCTCACGTACACCATATCCATCGTCATCATTGTATTCTCAAATCCCATCCATCTCTAGAAAGTTGAATTGTCTGGAATGGCCCCAGGGCGGGGCGGACGTTACGTCGCCGCGTCGCCCATTGCTGCAGGCGAGGAAATCCTGAGCATCCCCATGGACAACGTCATGTCTGCTCAGTCAGCGAAGGAAGGCCGCATCCATCTCCTCGTGGACGCAAACCCGCACCTCCCCCCCGCGGTAGTGCTGGCCTTGCACCTCCTCGAAGAAAAGCACAAAGGACCTTCGTCCAAGTGGCACTCGTTCATAAGCACGCTGCCCAAAACCTTACACAGCACCATCTTCTTGTCAGACGTACGCCGCACCCTCGTGCCCTTATTCCTCCTCCTTGACAGAGTGCGAACATACAGGATGAATGGGATCTCATTCAAGGATCGCATGTGGCTCGACTCACCGAGACTCGGCGCAAGGCGATCGCCGACTTTTACGACGCGCTCGAGTCGCCGCTCACGTCCAACATCGTGGACCCGCCCTTCTTCACCCCTGCCCAATTCACCCTCAAGTCCTTTCAATGGGCTATGGCCGCCGTGTGGTATGTATTATGCCGCCCCCCCTCACTCGATTCCTCCTAACATGCGGCGGCTTCAAGGGCCCATTCGATCTTAGTGCCCAAGCTACAAGTCGATCCAGCGGAGGACGCCGACCAGTTTGACGCGGTGCTCGTGCCTGTCGTGAGTACATTAACGCCATGCCACGACTGCGATAATCGCATCCAAGTGGAAGCCGGTCACTTTACGTTGATCGCATCTCAAGCTCTTGCCCAGGGAGACGAGGTACAACACAGCTGGATGCTACTGTATCGCAGGGCCAACTCGTTTGTAACGAGCGATCTAGGTGCAATTTCACCTGGGCACGAACTCGATGGCGCTGTACATGCTCAACCACGGGTTTGCGCCTGCGACGCCGTCGAGCGCCGACGCCGTGGCGGTCGGTATCCAAGTCGAGCCGTCCGACCCCCTCCTACTGTTCAAGAACCAGATCCTCGCCATGATGAACACGACCATGGATGTTTCTTATGCCCCTGCATATGGCATGTCCACAGACACTATTCTCGCGTCCATGTTGCCTTCCATGCGCGCCAAGGTACCAACCATAGCAACAACATGACGTTCTACGACCCAAGATATATATATGTATCGGCATGAGGTTGAAGAAGTGTCACAGTGGACTGTGTAGGTGTTGGCGACGAGTGAAATGGACCAATATCAACGTGTGGTCGATGGGCACATTGTCTCGTACGTCCGAGAATGGATGGACACAATGTCACATGTCGATATCTATTATTAGATTGCGAAACGAACACGCTGTATGCCGCGCTTTGTTGCAAACGGTCCATACCATGTTGGCCCAATATATAACGTCCCCAGACCAAGTGAATCACCTGTTATCAAGTGCGGTCCTCGAGACAGAGCAAACCAAGGACCTTCTACGCACGTTGCAAGTGGAACAAGAGATTCTCATCACGACCGAGCAGGCGATTCAACACCACTGGCTGCAACTGCTTGTGGATGACTCGCTACTGTCTGCCACCACCAACGCTACTTAACTAGACGAACGAACGAGCGAACGATGATGCATAGCGTGGTTGTATGACAACACATAATACATGGGATTCACACATCAGATCGATCGTCGTTCCCGTCTGTTTCTTGCACTCAAAACAGTCGCCTTATTGTTATTGTCGCCGTCCAGACACATGTTGACATGGGTAGGTAGGGCTATGCTTTGGCGAGTGGCTGCCGCTGGACGCGCGTGGTTAGCACGATGCCTTGATCACACATGCGCGCGTTGAGTTCTCCTTTCCAGTACATGCCTTTGCTGTGCTTGGGCTGGTACGGCACTACAAATCCGCTTGGTGTTAGCCATACGACGTCGTATATCATCACGTTACCGCCGAGGATGTCTTGGTACTTGGTCACGCGGTTGAGTTCACTTCGCACCCTGGCCACGTCATCCTACCATGTCACATATCACAAGATCATAACATTTAATCGTGATGACATTGAAGGACGTACGGGATGCATGAGATCAAACATGCTCACGTCGTCATGGACGACCTTCTTCTCATGGTACCCCAGCACGCGGTTGTAGCTCGCAGTCAAGTACGTGACTTTCCGGTCTTGGTCGAGCGACACCATGGCAATGAGGTCGGCGTTTTGCTCGCACAAGTCCTTGTACATTTGCAGCTGCTTGACCTATATATATATATATACATTAGGTTATATATATATTAGGTATATATATATACATATGTTAGGAATATATATATACATATATTAGGTTATATATATATATATACATTAGGTTATATATATTAGATATATATATATATATTAGGTTATATATACAAGTCATACGGAACATGCGATACGAATTGTACCTCGGTCTTGAGGCACTCGACAAACGCTTTCTTGCGCAGACGAGACTTGCGAGAGTGGTCGCGGTTCCGCTCCCGACTCTTGTCAGCCTTGGACACGACCGAGTCCTTGTCAAAGTCGACGTCGGCTACAACATCATGGTCACCACACAAGAGCCACAAATGTGTCTGCATGAGCAAGAATGGACGTACATGCGTTCCATGTGCCACCACTGCCAAACGACTGCGACGTCATGTCGGCCGTGCTTTGCCGGTTGCTCTGGATCATGGACGACAGCATTTCCGGCGACAACGTTTGAGACCCGACGGCGCCGCCAAACTGAAACGACTTTTCGGCCTTGATGCGCACGTTGCCGTCGACGAGCGCGTCCGCCGTCGTGTGCTTGGCATCGAACGCGTGGTGGTCAGCCGCACGAAGCTGGGCGGGGGCAGCCGCACTCGTGGTGTCGACGGGCACGAGGCCCTGGAGGTGGTGGTTCATGTGGAAGCCACCGCCAATGCCAGCAGGAAGGGTCATCGACGTCATGTTGTTTTGTCCGTGGAGATGGCCCGACGGACCGCCAGCCGACGGCGGCATGGCGGATTGCTGGCTAAACGATTCAAAGAACTGGGCGTTCAGCTGCGCGCGAGACATGTCGTTTGCCTGGTAATGCTGCTTGTGCATGGAGCGCGGACTTTCTAGTTTCACCCCCATGAGCGCGGCGTACGCTTCCACGGACGTGTCTCCATGTTGGTTGTTGTTCACTCCGCCTTCCATCTGCATGGTTGGTTGCTTGAGGCCAAATTGAGACGCGTAAGCTTGGAACAGTGACGACTGGTTTGCCTGCGCTGGGTTGTTCTGGTTCATCATGTCCACGTCGATGCGGCCAGGCGACATGTGGCCAGACCGGAGCTGTTGCTGCTGGTTGTGGTGCAGGTACTGGTTCGATGTGGGCATGTTACTGTGCGTCAGCGGCCCTTTGCTGCGCTGATTGTGCATCGGTGGCATCGCCTGGTTGTGCTGCTGCTGCATCTGTGATTGCTGCTGCAGCAGACTCATACTGGACATGTTCGCCAGGAACGGGTACGAGCCGTCAATGAGCCCGAGGTCGTCCGAGTCCATCACGTCATCAATGAGGAACTGATTGCTGTCCATAGCTGCTATTGCCGTCGATTGCGCTCGATTTCCAAACTCGACGCAAGAAGGGCGAAACAGCTGCGCCAGAGGGTGAGCTGGGTTCATATATATACTTCGAACTTCGATATATTATCTGTCGCTGGCTCGGTGGGGAAAGCACTTTCGAAGTTCGAAGTTACGCCAATCGTCAAGTGACCCGTACATGAATCGATCAGCGCTTTTCATTGGATAAAAACGAGATTTGTCCGGATAATCCATGTATTCCAGGTCGCAGAACGAAGAGCCACTGGTGTGGCGTGCACTGCCCATTTGTATGGGGTTGTTGATACAGTACGTACTGGGTACATTTACGTATTTTCAGTTTAACGTATCTTTAACGTGTATTACATGTCCAATGAGTACAGTACCGTCGGGCGTTGTAGACGCCGCCAGTTCACAGCGGAGCCATTGCGCGACAAACGCTTGGGGTAACTTTATGATTAAACTCCTCTGCGGCCACGATGCAAACTTAATTTGTTCTTCTGTCTCACGTCAGGATATCGCATACAGTACAGTTACCGGTAGTTTTGCCAAGTGCGTCCAAGTCCAGTCGATTTTAACACAAGCGTTAAATAGGTATTTCCTAATGTTGTGAACCACCATCAACGCGATCTTTTCAGGTTCTCTTGACATCTGTCGATTCCTCGCCATTGCTTGTGTGTGCGTGAGCCATGCATGCATGACCCGTGCTAACTCGTTGTATTGAGCCATAGAATGTATAATTGCTGACAGAGCCCCACGAATACCAGTTGATGCCATGAGATTGTATAGGAGAAATCCGAGAACAGGGCACAAATTGAGGCACAAGTTGAAATTCAAACACATACTAGTAGTACCTTACATACACTGTATCCATCACTCTTCAATTCAGTCAAAAGTTTCGAAAGTTCCATGGTTTGTCATTAATATTGTCATTTGGCTAATGGTATACCATACCATAACGACTCGGACAAATATTTGCTGGATATGTGCTTCGGACACGCACTTAACCGAATTTACGCATTAAATGCGAATAGTTGTACCACAGGCCTTGTCCGGGTAGCGGCACGGCCTGCGGCCTACCTGCCGCTTTTCCCGACAAGAGGAATCGATTGGACATTCGGTGAAGTGCACGATTGGGGCTCACTCCTCGCCAAGGCACCGCCTGCTCAAAATTATACACACGACCTCCGCTACGCTGCGGTGTGCGCAATTTTGTGGGCGGATGCTCTGTCGTCGCTCGCTACTGTAAAGCTGATCGTTCTTATGCGGGTTAATACAATACACAAGTATTCCGTTCGGGCACTTCATTCGGACAAAATATGTTCCCCTTAAGTCCAATACAAATGCCAAGTATGTCCGACTGAAATACGTGTCCGCAAAGTGATCATATTCACCCATACAAATTGGACGAAGGGAATGTAAAAAATAGCATTAAAATCGGCTCACTGAAAAATATATTTGAATTCGTCTCGGCCAAACGGAGAGTACTACTAATAGTATGGATGACAGTAGTATGGATATTTTCACTCTTTAAGATCATTTTTCATCACCACAATACTTAAGGCTTACTACGTACTACTTCGAAGTAGTACGGGACTGCGCTGAATATTATGAGTGATCTAATTATGAACAGATTGAAGAATATACCAACCTTGGATAATGTTACTATGGTTAATATAATATAATTGTTGAATTAACTGTGAAGCGTGGATGGCATTGGACAGACATTGGATGCAGTTGTGGGATGAAACCAAAAGCACAGTAGTGACCAAGCCCGGGAAGCCGTCTGCCCAAGCGCGGCCGTACGAGAGCGCGGATCTGAGCTTCTCACTTCACCGAATGATCTATCTTTTCTTCTTGTCGGGCAGCTGCAGGTAGGCCGTAGGCCGTGCCGCACCCGGTCGATGCCTGTATGCAATGACCTAGCAAAACTGTATCCTAATTTACTCTACTCTCTATTAATTAGGATATGACCTAATATTAATGTTGGATGACGTTGGGATGCAGTTGGATGACGCATGATACTATCACGGATATTTGAAATCCATATAACTAAATAATAGTAATTCGAAGTACGACTTTCAACATGATTTTAAGTCCTACGAACTGCATTAATTCTCCTCGTTAAGAGGAGATTAATAAGTTGTAAAGTTGTTAGGACTTTAAATCATTGCAGTTCATAGGACTTCAAATCATGTCGAAATTCGCGTAGTAGTGTTGATGGAAAATGAATTCAGAGTGGAAATAGTTCCGAGCCACTTGATTTTATCCAGTTACCTCTCAAAACGGAAATCAATTCGAAGCTGATTGGTTGAAAATTTCATATAGATTGTTTTCTACCAATCATGTATGAACCAAGCTGCACCCATACGTATAGTAGAGCTACATTTCGAATGTCGGTTCACATTAAACAGAGCTACCGCAGTATTCCTTCGAATAGGCTTGACTGCACTTATGGGCTTCGTTCCTTCAACAGCCACAAGAAGAATGATGCACTGTGCACATTCACGGAGCAGTTGACACGGTCCAAGTCGTGCCCGCCTTCGACCAGTCCCCATCGTTCGATCTACAAAAACATGGTTATCACATTCGCTACTGCACGAATATACTTCACATACCTGGTACTCTTCTTCCAAGCGACCCAATTCAATCGCCTATGACCACCACCAATAGCTCCATATTGAACACCCCTCATTCGTCGTCACAGCAATGTTCGCAACGCACCTCCTTGGCAGTGATATGCCGCTTAAACAAAGCCAACGCGACCACCATCGACTACACATAAAATCACTCGGTCAAACGCCATGGACAAGGGAGGTGGCATACCTTGCATTCGCGAACAATCAGACGGAAGGCCATCAGCTCAAAGTGGTCCAGCTAGTCCAAATTAGTCAGTTGACCACTTGATACCGTGTGTATCATTGCCGTACCGAGTCGACAAACGTGCGAACATTGTTGACGGCCACGGCGTCGTGCTGCAACTTGGTGATCGTGCCGTAGTTGATGTCGAGTTCGCCACCAAACTCGGTCTCAAACCACTTGCGCAGGGGCTGCCACTTCTTTTCCTGGCGAGTCGCTAGCTTTTCCTGGTGTTGGCTTTCCACGGGAAAGCAAATCGTGTCGGTTTGCAAGTACTTCATTAGTTCTTCGATGATGAACTCAAAGTCCCAATGGTCCAACGCCGTGGACGCCAGCGTCATGATGGGCATTGTCGTGGGCTGGATCACTTCGCGCTGCGCGTCCCACTCCATGGCCACCGTGGCGGCAAGAGCCTTGGTGGGCAGCTGAAGAAGCGACCGACTCGGCGTGCGTACCTTCTTCCCGTCCAACGTGATGCAGTACCCGTCGCCTTCCGCCTCGATGCCAACCGCTTTGTAAAAGCGAGAGCGACCTGCGATCTTCGCAGCCTGTACTACTAATAGTATGGATGACAGTAGTATGGATATTTTCACTCTTTAAGATCATTTTTCATCACCACAATACTTAAGGCTTACTACGTACTACTTCGAAGTAGTACGGGACTGCGCTGAATATTATGAGTGATCTAATTATGAACAGATTGAAGAATATACCAACCTTGGATAATGTTACTATGGTTAATATAATATAATTGTTGAATTAACTGTGAAGCGTGGATGGCATTGGACAGACATTGGATGCAGTTGTGGGATGAAACCAAAAGCACAGTAGTGACCAAGCCCGGGAAGCCGTCTGCCCAAGCGCGGCCGTACGAGAGCGCGGATCTGAGCTTCTCACTTCACCGAATGATCTATCTTTTCTTCTTGTCGGGCAGCTGCAGGTAGGCCGTAGGCCGTGCCGCACCCGGTCGATGCCTGTATGCAATGACCTAGCAAAACTGTATCCTAATTTACTCTACTCTCTATTAATTAGGATATGACCTAATATTAATGTTGGATGACGTTGGGATGCAGTTGGATGACGCATGATACTATCACGGATATTTGAAATCCATATAACTAAATAATAGTAATTCGAAGTACGACTTTCAACATGATTTTAAGTCCTACGAACTGCATTAATTCTCCTCGTTAAGAGGAGATTAATAAGTTGTAAAGTTGTTAGGACTTTAAATCATTGCAGTTCATAGGACTTCAAATCATGTCGAAATTCGCGTAGTAGTGTTGATGGAAAATGAATTCAGAGTGGAAATAGTTCCGAGCCACTTGATTTTATCCAGTTACCTCTCAAAACGGAAATCAATTCGAAGCTGATTGGTTGAAAATTTCATATAGATTGTTTTCTACCAATCATGTATGAACCAAGCTGCACCCATACGTATAGTAGAGCTACATTTCGAATGTCGGTTCACATTAAACAGAGCTACCGCAGTATTCCTTCGAATAGGCTTGACTGCACTTATGGGCTTCGTTCCTTCAACAGCCACAAGAAGAATGATGCACTGTGCACATTCACGGAGCAGTTGACACGGTCCAAGTCGTGCCCGCCTTCGACCAGTCCCCATCGTTCGATCTACAAAAACATGGTTATCACATTCGCTACTGCACGAATATACTTCACATACCTGGTACTCTTCTTCCAAGCGACCCAATTCAATCGCCTATGACCACCACCAATAGCTCCATATTGAACACCCCTCATTCGTCGTCACAGCAATGTTCGCAACGCACCTCCTTGGCAGTGATATGCCGCTTAAACAAAGCCAACGCGACCACCATCGACTACACATAAAATCACTCGGTCAAACGCCATGGACAAGGGAGGTGGCATACCTTGCATTCGCGAACAATCAGACGGAAGGCCATCAGCTCAAAGTGGTCCAGCTAGTCCAAATTAGTCAGTTGACCACTTGATACCGTGTGTATCATTGCCGTACCGAGTCGACAAACGTGCGAACATTGTTGACGGCCACGGCGTCGTGCTGCAACTTGGTGATCGTGCCGTAGTTGATGTCGAGTTCGCCACCAAACTCGGTCTCAAACCACTTGCGCAGGGGCTGCCACTTCTTTTCCTGGCGAGTCGCTAGCTTTTCCTGGTGTTGGCTTTCCACGGGAAAGCAAATCGTGTCGGTTTGCAAGTACTTCATTAGTTCTTCGATGATGAACTCAAAGTCCCAATGGTCCAACGCCGTGGACGCCAGCGTCATGATGGGCATTGTCGTGGGCTGGATCACTTCGCGCTGCGCGTCCCACTCCATGGCCACCGTGGCGGCAAGAGCCTTGGTGGGCAGCTGAAGAAGCGACCGACTCGGCGTGCGTACCTTCTTCCCGTCCAACGTGATGCAGTACCCGTCGCCTTCCGCCTCGATGCCAACCGCTTTGTAAAAGCGAGAGCGACCTGCGATCTTCGCACCAGATCCAGAGCTAGGACCTCCACGCGGTGTTTCTACCAGAGCTGCTGCTTTGCTGAATGCGGCGACGTGCTTTGGGGCGTTGACTGCCACCAGGGAGGTTGCACGCTGCATCATGGTTGCTTTTGACTGCTGGTGGTTGAGGTCCAACTTTATCCGGCAAATTGACACACGTAACCGGCATTTGGTTACTTCGAAGTACTACGTACTACGTATTAATAGTACTTCGAAGTAGTATATTCCTCAATAACGTTACTTAACGTTAACGTGAGTACTATTAATAGTATTGCACTGTATCAATTGCACTGTACACAACGTTATGAATAACACCACCTCCATCGGCCTAAGTATGGAAAGTCGTCCTGGACGAGATCATGTTTGCTTCGTTTGTTGTGGTATTAATATTTCTGACAATTGTTTGAAATACACAACCACCTGTCTTCCTGTCCTTGTAGGTTAGGGCTATAAAAATAGCCCATTTTTGCCGTGGCAGTGGATGTCAATTTGCAATCCTGCTCCATCATGGTGAAGCAGCCTCAGCGAAAAGGCATTTTCATGGGCATCGTCGCGTATTTGATTTGGGGACTGAGTGCCGTTTACTGGAAACAACTCGTCAAAGTACCGGCGATGCAGCTTCTCTGCCATCGAATTGTGTGGGCCCTGCCCGTGGCAGCCGCCGTCATCTTGGTCACTGGCCACGGCCCCAACGGATCTTTCCGATCCTTCCTAGCTTCGCTCAAGCGGACCGTTGTGGGATTTTACGCCGCCACCGCGACTCTACTAGGCGTGAACTTGTTCGTAAGCATTTGGGCGGCGAATGCTGGGTTTATCGTTGAGCTCAGCTTAGGCTACTTCACAAGCCCCCTCGTGACTGTGCTCCTGGGGGTGTTGTGTCTTCGCGAACGCCTTCGCATGTGGCAATGGGTTGCAATCGCCACGGCCGGGTCCGGTCTACTCACCGTGACCTTTGTGTACGGCAAGTTTCCATGGATCGCCATCGTGCTGGCCATGGACTTTGGTTTGTACGGCCTCTTGCAAAAGAAGGCGCCGCTGCTGTCCGTTCAAGGCATTTGCATCGAATTTGCCATTTTGACATTGCCGAGTGCTACATACTTGGTGTTCGAGCAATACCAGGGCACTGGCGCGTTCACGACGATCTCAGTGGGGTACGATGTTCTCATGGTGGGCCTGGGGGTGCTCACCATAACCCCACAGCTGCTATTCTCCACGGCCATCAAGGCCATTCCACTCACTATCATGGGCCTCTTGCAGTTTATTGGCCCGACTCTGAACATTTTAATTGGCGTGGTCATCTACCACGAAAACTTTGAGTGGACCAAAGCCATCGGATTCGCCCAAGTGTGGCTAGGCCTCGTCGTGTACACGTATGACTTGCTTCGACGTGGCGCCAAGAACGAATCCTCGGCGGTCATCATCGACCCCACTACCGCGACTCGACCTACCATCACCAGTGCCGCCGACATAGTCTCGCTGGCCAAAGGAGATACTAGTAGTAGCGGCGACCACCTTGTAGTTTCGGCGACGGAAAACAAGATGTAATAAAACAATGCTTCTTTACTACCATAGTACATGTGGAATAAGAAAGTCATGCCATGCATGACCATAAAAAATGCAACGCTAGCAGCCAAGCTGCATCATACGCACACTTGAGCCAAAAAGCAAATGTGACCATTCTTGTTGGGCAGAATACGTAGTACAGAACCACGCGGTTGTTCAGGCGCCTTCGCTCGACTTTGAAAGGAATTACTATTAATAGTAATCAATTAAAAGGAATTAATCAGTTAAAATGTCGACGCATACAAACCTTCAGTGTTTCCCTTGGACTACAGTATTATAATTCGAATTGGGATCAAGTTGGAGCTGTAACGGCCCTCGTCTACAATACTATTAATATTTATAGTACAGTAGTATGGTGCAAGTCATCTAACAGACTACAGATCGGCCATCCTCAGGAGGAGACGTTTTATTATGGAGGAGACGTTTTACTGTAACGCATCGGTTCTTTCAGTTAAACCCACGAATTGTTGACGTTAAATCATATTATTAGTTACGTTTTTTACCTGGTAATTAGGTTAAACAATGTGATTAATCCGGATAATGAAAACGTTCGTACGGATAAGTGCCGTATACAAAGACCAAGATATACTCGATACTCCTTTTCGGCCAAAATGTTATAACCACCCAGTTATTCCCAATTATTGTTTTGACGACTGCGAATTAAATTAACCCGAAAGTATGTCTGAATTTGTATTCATAAAATACACATTTGTTCCTTTGAAGCATGTCCAAACTGGAAAAACTGAGTAACAAAAAAAATTACGTTTTGGCACCGATGCAAAAGGTTATAACCACGTGGTGACAAGGAGACCTAACAGTCTGCGAGAGCATCGAGGGGGCTAGTAGAGGTTTTTTGGCAAAAAATTGGTCGATTTCCACGATTTTTGGTGTATTGTATTCGTTAGTTCTTCAATAATACGATGACATTTGCGTGAAACTCTCAAACGCAATGTATTTCACAATACGATGGAAAAACTGTTCGAATTAACATAAAACAACACCATGAAGAATAATTACTTGTGAAAATCAATTACACCATGTGGATTAGGAACTGGGAAATGTAAAAAAATGCAATCCAGAAAAACTCTTATATCTCAATGGTGGTGTGTAACATTGAGAATCAAAATACCCGTACAAAATATACCAAATTTCTCTCTTTTTTATCTAATTCCTTCATTTCGTAACGGATTTCGATGAAATAAGTGCCAAAATGACCGCAGTGATTGGCCCGATCGATTCCCACCAATTCCAGACCGCCATGACTTACGGCGCCAAAATCGAATCCGACGTCAACGCAATGGATGCTTCCACCGCAGCTCGAATCAAACAGTTCGTCAAGTTGCGCCGTAGGCGCAGCTTGTCGTACGATGAGAAGTTGGACATACTTTGGCTCCAAGCGACTCTCCGCGAGCAAGGCAACCTGGATGTTACTGGAGCCTAGGTCGAGCGAAAAAGACTGTACAAGGCGTTCTTGCCGAGTTCAACACCTTGGGCGATCTGTCGGTTGCTGAACCGCCATCCAACACAACCAATCACCGCACAACTGTACTGAAAACTCGTGCTGTCCGTGACCTCGTGAGGACATTCATCCGTGACCGCTCTGTAACCCGTACCCGGACGGTCGGGAAGGACGTGTTAGCCCTGCTCCAAGAACACAATGTCGTGTCGGTCGATGTCAGCTGCAAGAAGAGCTATGGGTCCTGCCTTCGCGCAGTGCAGTCATACCTGGCCAAGCAAGGATATGCGAGGGGGAAGCGTGTGGGTGCCACCGAGTATCGCAATGAGCAAGGCGCATGAGGACGCCCGTGACGCGTACGTGGGCATGATGGTCCCCACAGTGATGATGTCCCCCCGTCGCCCTGTCGTCTACCTGGACG